CATTCATTGTTAGTGCACTTTTTATTTTCCATTATTAAGCTTTGATTTTCAGGCAGTTCAGTCATTCCCATCTCTTTTTATTTGGCCACATAAGTCCCAGCTAATCTGGTCTGAAAGTTGCATTTGTTGGATGTGATGCAAAAAGTGGCGCCCGAACAGGGACACTGATATTCAGAGTACTGTCATGCTCAAATCAGCAGGGGTGCTGACCAGTAGGTTGTCCCTCTGGACTAAGGGTGACAGGAAGTTGACCTTGCCTCGATCAAAGAGGTAAGGATTCCTGTGATGGACTGCAGGTAAGCTAGAGGGATGGGGAGGATGTTGGCCTATCGCTGAATCGGAGGGAGTAAAATAGGCTTGAGAATGTCCAACCAGAAGAGGGATGTATATGCTGAAAGCTACTATAGAAGGCCTTGGGATCTTTTAAATTAAAAAAAAAAAAAAAAAAAAAAAAAAAAAAAAAAAAAAAAAAAAAAAAAAAAAAAAAAAAAAAAAAAAAGGCAGAGATGTGACAGTCCATCCTGGACAGATGGGCTGTGGGCTGGTCACATAGAAAGCAACAACATTAGGCCCTGTGAGGAATTATGGGAACAGTTATGCAGATTAAGCAATTCCATATAAGGTTATGCTCTGAACCCTGCCCTCTGATTGGGTAATCTTGTGCTCCATATAAGGTATTGTTTCTGATTCTCTCTGTTCATTGGTTCCCTTCCCTCAGATAATGTCTATATAAGGTTGCATTTGCCTTATTTCAAGGTCTTCTGGAGGAGCTCTGTACAATGTAAGGCTTATGTTTTGTTGCACATTGATTGTTAGTACATCTTTTATTTTCCATTATTAAACATTGATTTTCAGGCACTCCAGTCATTCCTGTCCTGCTCCCTCGGATCCTCTGCAAGGCTGTCTGAGCATGGTGGTGGCTGGCACATCTCCTGCTCTGCCAGCTTGTGCACGACCCTTTTGGCTTTCATTTTAGAGACACTTGGTCCCTGGCTGGTGTGTCTGGAGGAAAATTTGTGAATCACAAACTGCTGCAGCAGTGTCTGTACAAGCTTGCAATGGCAGCAACTTTTCAGAACATGAATAATTAGTCAGCAGCCATGAATGATTTTAATGCCCCGGTTAACAAGTATGGTCTTTGCAGCATCTCACCATACAAATTTGCCAGATTTTCAAAGTGGCAGCTTCTTTTTTAGCTTGAAGGAGATGCACCTAGGGATCCCTATGACATATTACTAGTGCCTGCAGTTTTGAGTAGCATGTTAAGTTGAGGGGTTTTATTTGTGAACTTTGGAAAAATGCATATTTACTGTCACTGTACCCCTCTGTCACAAAAGATAAATTATTTTAAAATGTTTTCATCTTCTTTTGCAGTACACAAGCCAGTGTACACAATCCACTTACAAACCACAAGCCAGTACACAAGCCAGTTACATGAAAACCTCATTCAATCTGTTTGTTGTTGAAGCCCAGCTGGTAAACTAGTAGATGTAAAAAAGAAAAGTGATTCTAAATACTTTAAACCAAGGAATTTAGATCAAAACATTTTCTTTCAGAAGGCTTGTTCTTGAATTTTAAATCTAGCAAGACTACTAAGATTCATTAGTCAGGCATTTTATATATATTATACTTCAAGAATCTGACAGCAAAACTCCATGGAGGTTGTGTATTACACTGAACATCTTTTCTAGAAGAAAGTTCTTAATTTCCAGGCTCCAAACTGTTGCAGCAATTGTTATGGTAATACATTATATTTGTTAATTACTCTGTCTGCTAAAAACATATAAGTTACTTCTAGTCTGAACATTGATTTACAGCATACAGCAAATATTTTTGATAGGAGTCTTAAAAAATCTATTTTTTTCAGTTAGTCATCTTGTAGTCATGCTGGATAAGCACTATTCCACATAAAGTGTGACTTAACTCTATGACTTCAGTTAACTATCCCGCTTCATAGCTCCTGTGGATGAAGGAGATTATAGAGAGTGTGTTGGGAGGAAAGGGTAAAAACAGGAAGGTTTGGTGAGGAGGAGAGAATAGTTTTGATCAAAGTGATTTTGAAGCTGTGAATGCAAGAAATATTGGTGTGAAAAAACTCCATTTATTATGCTTAATATTGCTCATCCTCTGCTTTGTCAAAAACTTGTAAATCCTTCTGCTTTAGTGAGGCAGGCAGCTAGCACCCCCCCAACTGTCTGCTAGAATGCACTAAGCCAAATACAGCCTGTGTCCCCATGTGTCTTCCACAAGGTGTTATTAGCAAGGTAATAAAATAAATCTACTCTTTGCATTTCAGCTGTGGTTTGATGGTTATTCTTGGTTACTTGTATGTGTTGATTCACACAGAGGGATACAGAAGAGTAGGATGCATCCTGACCTGGAGAAATACCAAATTTCCACTCTTTTGAGGATCTGTGTCACAGCAATAATAGTCTTACCAGCAAGAAGGAGCTGGTACATGTAACTCTCAAAATGAATCGTGATTGGTATTTGTAATGAAAAGGCATCTCCTCCACCCCCAGAACAATCCATGCTTGCAGGACAACAGTCTGGACACAGTCTGTGAATGATGTCCTGGCAGTGGGCTTCCATATCGTAGGCAAGTAAACTCCTCTGGTCTTCCAGAAGGATTTGATTGAGTAACTTTTGAACAGGGCTGGCATCTAAATCTGTATGAAATGGTCAGTATCAGCTGTGTGTGCAGTAAGGTGCAACTGGAGGATGCCATCATGAAGATACGGTGAAGCATGAAGTTAAGGATGCCTTCTGCTGAAAATGCCATCTAAACAGCACAGGAACTGACAAATCAATATAGTAATAGTTGTGGCTGCTTAGGAAGATTTGGTGTCCTTTGTGCTGAAGTTCTTCACCAGCAGCTATACCTTCCCCTGCAGAGGGTCTGCAAAAAGGAACCATCCAAGTACTGCAGGGTGAGATCTACTGGATTCAGTTAAGGTGGCGATGATTTCTAACCTTTTAGGATTTTGAGGTGTTTTGGTGGTTGGGGCTTGGGATTTGTGTTTCTAGGCTGCTGCAGAATGCTTCTGTCTCCCACAATGTAAATGATGAGGACACTTAATGTCCAACTGAACAGTGACAAGGAACCACAAAAGCCATGATCTCTTGAATCACTCAGATCAGTCATCACTCTGGTCAGTGTTTGCAGCTGGGTACTTGATTTGCACAAGTCCACAGCCTCCAGTGATGATACAAGAATGGCCAAAGCATATCCTGCAGGGCCCTTTCCCAGCTTCTGAGCTTTATTCCCCAGATGGATTTCTTGCTATTTATTACAATTAGGAGGAAGCTAAATGCTTCAATTTCTTTACAAATGAGATATAGTTAAAGATGTAGTGTTTGGTGGTTACTCTTGACCAACTCTAAAACACACAGTGAATGTTATAAGTTTGAGGCGAATAATTTGATTCAGCCCTTTAAGATCAATTAATAATTTTTATTAATTACAACAAGCGATAGCAAGCATGCAGCACTGGGTGTAGCCGGGAACTCCGCGCTCCGCCAATGGCTCACACACTTTTCCTCTTTCCAGCCCCTTTTTTATACTTTTCTTGAAAACTTCCGCATTCGTATCTTTTCTGCGCTGTGTTGAGTTAGCAATAGTTGATTTCACAAGTGGGTTGATGGGTCTCCTCTGTTGTGGTTATCAGTTCCGGCTAATCCTGCAAGATCTTTCTTCCATATATATTGTCATTACATTGTTTCACAATATCTGCTTGTGGTTACCAGTTTTGCTTAAGCCTGCAAGTTCTATGCTTTGACCTTTACATTTTTCCTTTACTTTAATTTCTTGATGAACAAACAAGTCAACGCAGTTTTTCACAGTGAACATTTTGCAAATACATCAGCAGTTATGGGAGTCTACATACTATAAACAAAATTCTATCAAAATTGTGAGAAACTGCATTGACTTGTTTGTTCATCAAAAGTATGAAATTAGGATAAAAGGGGGGGAAGTCGGGACATGGAATTTGCAGGCTTGACTGGTAACCACAAACAAAGATTGTGAAAGATTTTGCAGGACTGGCTGGAACTGATAACCGCAGTGGAAGGAGATCCATCACCCCCACTTGTCAAACCAACTGCTGCTGGAACTGATAACCACAGTGGAAGGAAACCTATCACCCCCACTTGTGCTGGATAAAAAGGGACTGAAGAGAAGTAAAGGTTGTCAGCTTTTGGCAGAACACAAATTCCCCAAGCTGCACCCAGCGCTGTTTGCTTGCTATTGCTTGCTGTAATTAATAAAATTATTAATTGATCTTAAAAGGCTGAATCAAATTATTCGCCTCAATTTATAACAAAAATGATAAAAATGATTTAAAAATCTCTTGGTTTTAATTGCAGTACTTTCAACTGGGATCAAATTTTGAAATGCAGCATTTCCCTTTAAATGGAAAACATTCCATCTACACTGAGAAGGAATAGTGATGTCAGAGAGAACAATTTACTCTTTTCAGCCAGGAAAAAAAGATATCATAGATAGCATTTTGAAAAGTAAATGAAAGACTGCTTTGTTCTGAAGGTCATGATTAACCCCAAGTAAGGCTTTGTGCTGGTGGGGGCTGTTGGCTCTGGAGAGCAGTTCTGGGTGTGCAGCGTGGCCGATCTGAGCGAGCACGGGGCCGCGCACGGGGCCCGGGGCCGCGCACGGGGCCCGGGGCCGCGCACGGGGCCCGGGGCCGCGCACGGGGCCCGGGGCCGCGCACGGGGCC